TTGTTTCTGAAAATTATACTGAGTAAAATATTTAAAACTTTATTTTTTGTATTCATAGGTTTATACAGTAGAAATACTTATTGAGGTTTTATTTGCTGTAAAAAATTGAAAAGGTATTACTTAAAACTGGTGGTCATGACTGATAAACTAGTATTGTTTAAGTAGTTAACAAAATGAAATGCTAAGTTATACAGTATGGTAACATTTTAAAAACTATATTCAGTTTTTCTTCTGTTTGCTCTTGTTTACAATTTCATAAAGTAAAATATTGAATAATTTTACTTTAATATATTAGTCATTTAATTTGATGATTTAGTTAACCATCTTGAGTGTTTAGCATGATGTAATGTATTTTGACTAACTGCTGTAATACAAGATGTAATTAACTCAGTATTCAGCAGATCGTTTTATCAATATTTTAACATGTCATAGCAATCTCTAAAAATGGAATTGGATAGTTTTTGTGCTTGTCTCTGAAAGGATTTATTTAAAAATATTATTGTCTGTCAAACTGACGAGTTATCACACTAAGAAGATGAATTTCCCCCATGCTACCTCTTACTTAAGAGAACACAGTTTATTTTTCAATACTATTCCACTCAGGAAGAGCTATTTATGTACAAGAATAAAATAATTAAGAAAATGCATTTGTGTGAATTTTTGGAAATCCGTTACCTATTCATTTATAACAAATAACTTATGACTTTAAGGTGCATACATGTTGTTTGCATTTAAGTTTGTACGATAAAAATATATATTTGAGAAATACAAACAATGCAGAATTTACTTAGGATATAATTGGGTTTTGCTTAGCTTCATAATTCAGTGCTTTCATTTTCAAATGTAACCAACTCATATTTTGACTGAGTAGTACCTGTGAAAACGTGCTATATAAGTTTCATGAGAGCAGGTGCTTTGGAGGCCAGAGAGGTAGTTATCCACTCTTAAGGTTTTTTTTTTTTTTTTTTTAATCTACAATTAGTTCAGACTGTGGCAATCTGCTTTCTTAACTGTGGCAGCTGTTTGGAGCATGTTACACCTGTCAAAAGCCTGCATTGGCTTGATAATGCTTCCAGATATAATGCAGGGTACAAACGCTGACCTGTAACTCTGTCTGGTCTAAGTCCTGATTACGAAGAAGGCTACCTGTTGCGGTAAAGAAGAAAGGGTACTTCTGCCTAGAGCCCTCACCTTTAATCTCTCTGGGGGACCAGAGGCAAGGGTGTTCTCACTGGAGGGTCCTCAGTTCTGGAACTGGCTCCACAATTATCCCAGTGAAGCCTGAGTTTTAAGTCATGGTGGCCTGCTTCTGTAACCTTTTGTCTGAGGAGCACAACTGTGTCAAAGAGATGAACATTTCCTTCTAAACTGTAGGTAACATGGTCATATTTGAGGACTTGGACTGAGTAAAGATGAATCATATTTGCAGGACATTAACTTTGCCTTGAAGTAGCAAGTACGCCAAATTGAAAATTGCATTAACTTATTAAATCTGAAAGCCCATTACAAAATCTTAAGATGAGATATTATGTAAATGTCAAAATGAGTATTGAGTTGGAAATATGTTTAGATATATTTTTCTAAATTATTGGTGTTGCTGTAAGAGATTAAATAAAAATGGTCAAAGTGTGTGAGAGAGAAGGAAAAATGGATTCCCAGTGAATGTATACCCATAGCAAACAAAGGTTACACTTATTTTCATCTAAAGAATCTTTGGAATAACATCTATAAAATACCTGATTTACAGAGTAACTTCTTTTTTGCAGTTGTTTCCACTGAGTTCTTCAAATATTACTCTTGCAAATTTATCATTTAGATTGTTTTTCAGAATTAAATTTCCATTATACTTCCTTGTTTTATAGAAACAGAACTCAGTATACAATACTGAATGGGGAAGAATTTAACATCCTGTTAAAGAGCGAGTGCAATTTAGTAGAATCTGTGTCACTTTAGGAACCAGACAATGCTCAAATTGGTTCATAAAGCATGTTTGGTATTTCTGAAGTCAGTATGAAGATTTAATTCCTCTTGACATAAATAACTCTCAAGCTAGTAAAGCTTCTTGACCACAACAAAAATTATCTGATTTTTTCAGTAGTTAAATGAGAAGAATTTAAAGTCTGGGAGCGCTTCAGATGAGTAATGAAAAGCACTAAGGAAAGGTGGCTTGTTCTGTTTTGTGTAGTGTAGCTATATACCTTAAGCTTGCTGCTTAAGGGGAAACTAGTATTTTCAGTATTTTAATATTCTCTTAAAAAAAGAAAAGGGTTGTATAAGAGGTTTTCTACTGGCCCTTTAAAGGTCCTTTCAACAAATGGAAGCAGGTAGGTCTGAGACCAATATCAGATATGTTTCTCTCCTTTGTCTACTTGCCTATGTGGCTCTTCAGCACTTTTTCTCCTTTGTTAAAATTTAGGTCTGTGGGGGGGGGGGAAGGGCTAATATGTAAGTGCTAAGATATTTATTTTATTTTTTACCAAAAACATGACTTCTGTTGAGATTTTTTTCAAAACTCTTTTTATGCCCATTCATAAATATAACCCCTTTTGAAGAGTTCACAATGGCTTCATGGCATTTAACAGATCCAATGTGAAATAATTTACTTTGAAAAATGAGACTTGGTATTTCCTGACACATTAAAGTGTGTTTACTTAAGATAAGCCCTTCTGACCACTTCACTTAGTCTTCTAGAGTGACCTTTAGTTTTTGTGTTGTAGTTCTCATACTTTTAAAAGTATGTTTTCAAAATGTTGCATATTTCATTAGATTTAAATCTTGCTAATTTTGCAGGGTTTTTGCATCATTTCTTCTTTTAACTTCGTAATTATTTTGTTTTATATAGAGAAGATTGTGATCACCAAACACATTCTGTGTGTAACAATCCAGATTTTAACTTACATCTGTAAGTGGTGAAAAGCTAATGCATTTATGTAACAGGTCCATAGAGTTGTCCCCTCCCATATGCACCATGCTCAACCCAGATTTTAAATGCATTTGAGCATGTACTGTATTTTGTACACATTATAATTGTTCCTGTTCATCTTAATTTCTAGTCTTGTTCCCTTGAGAAGTTGGATACTTGCTAGACTTGAAAGGCAACTTTAATCTCCGTTAACCTAGCTACAAAACAATGAATTGTACTAAAAGAATTCTAAAGCGTTCAGGAACAGATGTATTGCACTACCAAGTCATCTGCTCTAGAATAAAATCAGTTGGTTCTTATGATATTACACATAACTCTTTACAGAGAGTGTTTGTGTCAAGATTGTACAATGCAAATTTCGGATTGTAGGCTAAATTTTCAAGAGAGACTATTGATTTCAGGTGCCTGAACTTTTGGGTGACCAACTTTAGACATTTTAGGGGCCTGGTTTTCCGCAAGTGCTGAGCATCAAAAATCAGGCCTCTTTATTTAGATTTAAAAATCTAACTGCCCTAGCATCATTAATAACTCAATTAAAATGCCAGCAGCGTTCATGTAGTCATTTCACAGGGACTCAGACAGAGACCCCTTTCCACCCTTCATCCTTATGAGAAGCATACTTGCAGCCCTCTTCAGAAACCAACCCTCTTCAAGTTGTCTCAAGCTGGGCATTCAAAAATCGAAGTACCTAAAATATTTACTAAGCAACACTTGGGAGGGGGTGACAAATCAAATACATTTAATTGAGTTTTGATGGCTAATTTTCAAGAATATATAGTGGGGGGAAAAAATGTAGAACAGCTACCATGGATGAACACAAAACATCTTGTGAAAGTGATGGAACAGAAATTGTTGTTTCTAGAATACACATATGATCCATCCAATATTTTCCCCAGTTAAGTATCTGTTTATTTTAATGTAGTTCCTTAAACACTGCTTCACTGTATTTTTAGGTGATGTGATATAACTGTAAAAATGTTAACATGAGCCTATTTCCAACATTTATAGTATTTTAAGGCAAACGTTTAAATTTATATTTTTCCATATATAGGTAGAAATAATTCAAGAACTTATTACTGGTTACGAAGCCTCTCTGAAAACCTGTGACTTTTTTAGTCCATATGGTAAGTTTCAATGGACAGGTATTAAAATTACATTTCAGTTACTAATCCCTGTATTGACAGTTATCAATAATTGTTGGAGTGCTGCTGCCTTTTGCCAGAGAATAGTTATATCTCTACCTTTTTGCAAATGAAAACAATTTAGCAAATATTGCTCAATTTATCAAGTTTTTTTTGTGTTTTTCCCCAAATGAAGTCTTCAACCTTATTGGCCACTGTAATTTTATATCTGTTTTGTTACAGAAAATGGAGAGAAGGAGCCCCCAACGACACTACTTTGGGTTCGTTATTTCCTGGCACAGCACTTTGACAAACTTGGCCAGTGTTCATTGGCCTTGGAATACATTAATGCTGCAATTGCAAGCACTCCAACATTAATAGAACTGTTCTATTTAAAAGCAAAAATTTACAAGGTAAAAAAGTTGAATTAAATATGTCTAATTTTAGGCTGAGAGGTCCCTTACTCAGTTGAAATTTTCATAAGATTTGATAATGTGATTTTCTGGTTTGGGGCATGATCATTTGCTCTGTTTTTTATTTGACACTCTGTTCTGTCAATCAGAAAATGTAAACACGCTTTCCAGTTTGTTTATACTATGGAGTAAAGCATCATAACTTACAATGAGTGGTCACTTTGGATAGTCCACAGGAAAAAAAGACTAAAATCTACCTTTAACATTTCTACGGTGCTTATAAATCCTGGTGCCAAAGTACTAATAGCTATAAAATGTCTATATTTAGTCAAAAATTTATTTAAGAATGAAATATAACGCACTTTTTTTTTCCATAACAGCATGTAGGTAATCTCAAGGAAGCTGCCAAATGGATGGATGAAGCACAGTCTTTGGATACAGCAGATCGATTCATCAACTCCAAATGTGCAAAATATATGCTCCGAGCAAATATGGTGAAAGATGCAGAGGAGATGTGTTCCAAGTTTACAAGGGTAGGAAATATTGTTTTAAAGAGGGGGTTGGTAGTATTTTCAGTTGGAAAATCACATATCAGATGTAATTATCTGATACCGCATCTCTGCCAGAGTAACTGATTTGAGTGATAGCAGAAATCTACCCATTAGAGATATTTGTCCATTGTTAGGGTATGTTTGCCTGTGTAATTATAACTTAATATTAGTAATAACTAATTTTCTAGTAGACTATGATGTAGCACAGATGTTACTCCAGAAACATTCGCAAAAAGAAAAGGAGTACTTGTGGCACCTTAGAGACTAACCAATTTATTTGAGCATGAGCTTTCGTGAGCTACAGCTCACTTCATCAGATGCATACCGTGGAAACTGCAGCAGACTTTATATACACACAGAGATCATGAAACAATACCTCCTCCCACCCCACTGTCCTGCTGGTAATAGCTTATCTAAAGTGATCATCAAGTTGGGCCATTTCCAGCACAAATCCAGGTTTTCTCACCCTCCACTCCCCCACACAAACTCACTCTCCTGCTGGTAATAGCTCATCCAAAGTGACCACTCTCCCTACAATGTGCATGGTAATCAAGGTGGGCCATGTCCAGCACAAATTAATGAAACATTAATGCATTGCCACGCATACAGGAGTAAGTCCCTTTGTGGAACACACTTGATAGCTGTCATGTCTTGGAAAATTGTCATTGTCAAGCTATGTAACTTGGACTAATGGTTTAAGAACAAATCTGCATTTCAAATTGTTCATGCTGAATCCAAGTCATTTCAATAAGACTTAAGCCTGGTCTACACTACGAGTTTAGGTTGAATTTAGCAGAGTTCTCTCGATTTAACCCTGCGTCCATCCACGTGACGAAGCCCTTTTTTTCAACTTAAACAGCTCTTAAAATCGATTTCTTTACTCACCCCCGACGAGGGGATTAGCGCTGAAATTGGCCTTGCCGGGTCGAATTTGGGGTACTGTGGATGCAATTCAATGGTTTTGGCCTCCAGGAGCTATCCCAGTGTGCTCAGTTGTGACCGCTCTGGACAGCGCTCTCAACTCAGATGCACTGGCCAGGTATACAGGAAAAGGCCCACGAACTTTTGAATCTCATTTCCTGTTTGGCCAGCGTGGTGAGCTCACCTGCACAGGTCACCATGCAGAGCTCATCATCGCAGGAGACCATGCAGTCCCAGAATCGCCGAAGAGCTCCAGAATGGACCGAATGGGAGGTACAGGATCTGATCACTGTATGGGGAGACGAATCCATGCTGGCAGAACTCTGTTCGAAAAGACGAAATGCCAAAATATTTGAAAAAAATCTCCAGTGGCATGAAGGACAGGGGCTATAACAGGGACCCACAGCAGTGCCGCGTGAAAATTAAGGAGCTCAGGCAAGCCTACCAAAAAACCAGAGAGGCAAACAGCCGCTCTGGTTCAGAGCCCCAGACATGTTGCTTCTATGATGAGCTGTATGCCATTCTAGGGGGTGCAGCCACCACTACCTCAACCCTGTGCTTTGATGCCGTCCAAGGAGTGGGAGGCAACACGGAAGCGGGTTTTGGGGGCGAGGAAGATAATAGCTCACAGCAAGGAAGCGGAGAAACTGGTTTCCCCAACAGCCAGGATCTGTTTATCACTGGACTCAGTACCCCCCGAACCTATCCAAGGTGGGCTCCTGGACCCTGAAGGTGGAGAAGGGACCTCTGGTGAGTGTACCTTTTGTAAATATTTATACATGGTTTAAAAGCAAGCGTGTTTAACAATTAATTTGCCTTGGCATTCGTGGTCAGTACAGCTACTGGAGAAAGTCTGGGAATGGAGCGGAAATCCTCCAGGGACACCTCCATAAAGCTCTCCTGGATGTACTCCCAAAGCCTTTGCAAAAGGTGTCTGGAGAGGGCAGCCTTATTCTGTCCTCCATGGTAGGACACTTTCCCACGCCAGGCCAGTAGCACTTAGTCGAGAATCACTGCAGAACAACGCATTGCAGCGTATGGTCCCGGTGTTTGCTGGCATTCAAACAACATCCGTTCTTTATCTCTCTGTGTTACCCTCAGGAGAGTGATATCATTCATGGTCACCTGGTTGAAATACGGTTGTTTTAGTAAGCAGACATTCAGAGGTGCCCGTTCCTGCTGGGCTGTTTGTGGCTGAACAGAAATCAGGGTTAGTTGGGTTTCCGCTGCATGTGAACCTGGAAACTGCAGCCCCTCCTTTTAAATTGCCAACCCATTTTAAATGGCCAACCCAATGGCTACTTCATATGGGAAATGAGGGTGCTGCTGTTTGAAACCATTCCCACATGTTATGAAGATTAAAGAAGCCAAAAGACTGTGGCTTACCATGGCTGCCTGCAAGCCGAATTCTGCTGCCCGGCCCTGCGTGAGTGATCTCTCACACCAAACCGGCATATCCTCAATAAGAGGCACAATGTGACCTTGTAATGAAAGCACATGTGCTTTGTAATGTTAACAGCAGGATTTACTGTGAAAGAGTCTACCCATTGTTCTATAAAATGTCTCTTTAACTACTACTTTCCCTTTTTTTCCTCCACCAGCTGCATATGTTTCTCCTTCCCAGAGGCTAGCAAAGATAAGAAGGCGAAAAAAACGCATTCGTGATTAAATGTTCTGACCTCAGGCTGTCCTCCCACACTGACAGAGCACAGCAAAATACATGGAGGCAGACAATCTCAGAGTGCAAGAAAACACAATATGACCATGAGGAGAGATGGTGGGCTGAAGATGTTAGGTGGCATCAGCTTGCTGAAAGAAGGCAGGAGTCAATGCTCAGGCTGCTGGAGGATTAAACTCATATGCTCCAGCATATGGTTGAGCTGCAGAAAAGGCAGCAGGAGCACAGACTTCTGCTACAGCCCCTGTGTAACCAACTGCCCCCCACCCTAAGTTCCATAGCATCCTCACCCAGACGCCCAAGAACGCGGTGGGGGGGCCTACAGCCACTCCACCCCAAAGGATTGCCCAAGCAACAGAAGGCTGGCATTCAATAAGTTTTAAAGTGCTGTGTGGCCTCCACCACCCCTCCTGGGCTACCTTGGCAGTTATCCCCCTGTTTGTGTGATGAATTAATAAAGAATGCATGAATGTGATGCAACAATGACTTTATTGCCTCTGCAAGCAGTGATCGAAGGGGGGAGGGGAGGGTGCTTAGCTTACAGGAAAGTAGAGTGAACCTGGGGGGCGAGGGAGGTTTCCATCAAGGAGAAACAAACATAACTTTCACACTGTAGTCTGGTCATTTCTGAAACTGGTTTTCAAAGCTTCTCTGATGCGCACTGCGCCCTCCTGTACTCTGCTAATCGCCCTGGTGTCTGGATGCGCGTAATCAGCAGCCAGGCGATTTGCGTCAACCTCCCACCCCGCCATAAACATCTCCCCCTTACTCTCACAGATATTGTGGAGCACACAGCAAGCACTAATAACAATGGGAATATTGGTTTCGCTGAGGTCTAAAAAGAAAAGGAGTACTTGTGGCACTTTAGAGACTAACAAATTTCGTTAGTCTCTAAATTGCCACAAGTACTCCTTTTCTTTTTGGGAATACAGACTAACACGGCTGCTACTCTGAAAGCTGAGGTCTAATAGTCAGTAAATTGCGCCAGCGCGCTTTTAAACGCCCAAATGCACATTCTACCACTATTCTGCACTTGCTCAGCCTATAGTTGAACAGCTCTTTACTACTGTCCAGGGTGCCTGTGTACGGCTTCATGAGCCATGGCATTAAGGGGTAGGCTGGGTCCCCAAGGATAACTGTTGGCATTTCAACATCCCCAACGGTTATTTACTGGTCTGGGAATAAAGTCCCTTGCTGCAGCCATTGAAACAGACCAGAGTTCCTGAAGATGCGAGCGTCTTGTACCTTTCCCAGCCATCCCACGTTGATGTTGGTGAAACATCCCTTGTGATCCACTAGTGCTTACGGCACCATTGAAAAGTACCCCTTGCGGTTTATGTACTCACTGCTTTGGTGCTCCAGTGCCAAGATAGGGATATGGGTTCCGTCTATCGCCCCACCATTGCAGCAAAGCCATCCACTATGACCTGCACATTTCTCCGAGTCACTACCCTTGATATCAGCAGCTCAGTGATAGCGTTGGCTACTTTCATCACAGCAGCCCCCACAGTAGATTTGCCCTCTCCAAATTGATTCCCGACTGACCGGTAGCTGTCTGGCGTTGCAAGCTTCCACAGGGCTGTTGCCACTTGCTTGTAAACTGTGAGGGCTGCTCTCATCTTGCGCTTCAGGGTAGGGGAAAGCAAGTCACAAAGTTCCATGAAAGTGCCCTTACGCATGCGAAAGTTTCGCAGCCACTGGGAATCGTCCCAGACCCGCAACACTATGTGGTACCACCACTCTGTGCTTGTTTCCCGGGCCCAGAATCGGCGTTCCATGCCATGAACCTGCCCAATTGACACCATGATGTGCACATTGCAGGAGCCTGTACTTTGTGAGAACTCTATGTCCATGTCCTCATCAGTCTCGTCACCACACTGCAGTCGCCTTCTCCTCACCTGGTTTCACTTTTCTTGCAGGTTACGGTTCTGCATATCTTTATGGATAATGTGCGCGGTGTTTATAGTGCTCATAATTGCCGCAGTGATCTGAGCGGACTCCATGTTCCCAGTGCTATGGCGTCTGCGCTAAAAAAAAAGGCGCGAAACGATTGTCTGCCTTTGCTCTGGCTTACAGGGTTGGCTTACAGGGAATTAAAATCAACAAAGGGGGTGGCTTTGCATCAAAGAGAAACAGAGTGGTCCCATCAAGGATAGAACTCAGAACCCTGGGTTTAGCAGGCCATTGATTTCACAGAGAGAGGGAGGATAAAATGAATACATTTAGGAAAAACTTTTTCACTATGAGGGTGGTGAAACACTGGAATGCGTTACCTAGGGAGGTGGTAGAATCTCCTTCCTTAGAGGTTTTTAAGGTCAGGCTTGACAAAGCCCTGGCTGGGATGATTTAACTGGGAATTGGTCCTGCTTCGAGCAGGGGGTTGGACTAGATGACCTTCTGGGGTCCCTTCCAACCCTGATATTCTATGATTCTATGAATACAAAACAAATCTGGTCTATTTCTTGTTTTGATCCACTTCATCTATCTTTATACATCTTGCTGGCAGCATACGGGGCAGTATGACTGCTGGTCATCGTCGTCTCCTGGCTGCTTATTAGAAGACGGTGCAGTAGGACTGCCGGCAGGATTGAATCACTATGGGACGAAACTTAAAAGGGAAATGACCTGGCTGAGTCACTCCCATGTTTGCCCAGGCGCCCCTGACTGACCTCACCGAGGTCAGCTAAAAGAGCACCCGGAGTATGGCGACAATGGCTACCAGTCATACTGCACTGTATGCTGCCAAAAGGCAATGAGCTGCTGCTGTGTAGCAATGCAGTACCGCGTCTGCCGGCACCCAGGAGACGTACGGTGAGCTGAGTGGGCTCCATGCTTGGTGTAGTATGGCGTCTGCACGGGTAACCCAGGAAAAAAGGCACGGAACGATTGTCTGCCGTTGCTTTCACAGAGAGAGGGAGGGAAAGGGGTGCCTGATGATATGTACCCAGAACCACCCGCAACAATGTTTTTGCCCCATCAGGCATTGGGATTTCTACCCAGAATTCAAATGGGCGGCGGAGATTGCGGGAACTGTAGGATAGCTACCCACAGTGTAACGCTCCAGAAGTTGACGGTTGCCTCGGTACTGTGGACGCACTCCGCCAACTAAATGCCGACTAATGCACTTGTGTGGGGACTCTCACAATCGACTGTATAAAAACGCTTTCTACAAAACCAACTTCTATAAATTCGACCTAATTTTGTAGTGTAAACATAGCCTTAGGCTTCTAAGGGCCAGTTTTTCAAAGCTATTTTGGCACCTAACGATGCAGATAGACATCTGTTACTATTTAGGTGCTTTTGAAAATCCTAAGCACCTAATTCCCATTGATTTAACTTGAAAATGGGATTTAGCCTCCTAAGCCACTTTTATGCACTCCTGAAAACTTAACTTGTAGCCCCCCTGCTTATAAAGTCCACGATGTCTGCATTCACGTGAGTGTAAAAACTAAGGTCGTCACTGCAAAACAGTTTGTATAATTCCAGAAATTTAAGCAGCACTTCAGAAATACCATTCTTCTACCTAAGGTGCTCACTGCTTGTCAGTTTCCAGAAACTGTAGAAATCCACAGTGTAGTCTGGTGATTCCTATAAGCAGAGAACTTTTTCACTAAGTGCAGGTGAGGGAGGATCTGGTTTGATTTAGTGTGCCATTTAGTTTTTGTATAAAGCTTTTTGTACTGTGGAAAATAAGATGTCTTTGTTTTCTTAGAATATCAGTGGAAGTCTTTGTTGACTCTTCTGTTGTATCATCTATGAAAGTTTTGATCTAGATGTTTGTTATTTTTATCAGCTGACATTTATATTTTCACATATTAATGGAACAATTGTAGTATTTTCTTCAGATGTAGTAATGCAGTCTATCTATAGTTTTTGATACAGAATTAAGACAAAGATACATTTAAGTGTTAAATAATTCATATGTCAGAATTAGATTATTTAGTAGTGTTTTCCTTTCCTCTTAAGTGTTTTGATAATTTGGTGGCAAACTTGGTTTCTTGTATGTCATTATTTTGATAGGTTTCAGAGGAACAGCCGTGTTAGTCTGTATTCGCAAAAAGAAAAGGAGTACTTGTGGCACCTTAGAGACTAACCAATTTATTTGAGCATGAGCTTTCGTGAGCTACAGCTCACTTCATCAGATGTATATTTTGATAGTTTATGCAGAACGTGCCTTCCAGTTTATTCAGTAGTTTTTATTGATCTAAAATCTTGAAATTTATATTAAAAAAAAATCCTACACTCCTCAATTTTTATTTGTTTTTAATTCCAAATCCAGAGTATAAAACTTTGTTTGGGATCAGTAGAGGTACTAGCAACAAACCAGTAAATATACCTGTTGGTTTTAAACTAGCAGGTGCTTCCTCTGATTCAGGCAAAAAAGAATAAACGAATCCTTCAGAAACTTAGATTCTCATAAAAATGAGTCTGATATTTCACTGCCTCTTTATCTTAGAAGAGGGAATTCTCTCTTTTCTTGTTTGAATTTATCTTCAAAAAATAGAGATATTTTTCAAGCATATTAATCTGTGCCCATGTGGCTTTGCAGAAGTACAACTTAAAGAAACAAGGAGGCTGGAAGAAGGATCAGTTTGAGCAGGAGTGATTTTTTTTCTTTTCAGAATGTCAATAACTATTCAATAAGAGAGGTTTTGCAGTTATCGCTATTTTTTATTGTATTGCAAGTGTGTTTATAGATGAGTGAATGGTTGTTTAGTAACAAAAGTCATGTGTGAGGAAAAGGGTATACAGCAGTTGATAAATTATTGGTTTCACCAGTTATGAATATCTTCATTTTAGGAAGGGACATCTGCTATGGAAAATCTAAATGAGATGCAGTGTATGTGGTTCCAGACTGAATGCGCTTCAGCTTATCAGAGACTAGGGAAGTGTGGTGATGCTTTGAAAAAATGTCATGAAGTGGAAAGGGTAAGTAGGTAAAAAATTTGGTCTGTTCCTATATACATTTTTTCATAATGCAGTGTAAATATTGGTTGCCTCAGTCAGTTCAGCATGGCATTCTTCACATTTAAAACTCTGGATACTGCAGTTTTTAAAAATGCTGTATAATCTGTGTGTTAATTAATGGATAACAGATCTTGTTCTTTGTTAATGTAACTATTATTAAAAAAAAAGGTAAATGAAAAGTCCAATAACCATAAATCTTTTTGACACGTTATCTAAAACTATTCTTACATTGCTTTGTGCCATCTCTCTTCTACCTGTTCAAAAATGTATATATTGTTTAAAAACAAAATAAAATGGTATAGTATTTTCTGATGGACTCGGAACAATACAAATTGCTGTTCACATCAACGGGGGCGGGCAGCGTTTGTTTTTTGGGTAAATTAAGTTAGCTTGCTTTTAAAAGAGATGGAGGGAGGATTTCTCTTACCTACATTTTGACAATAAATGATTGTCTCTTATTTTCTGTGTTAGATATGTCGGGGTTGCAAATAATGCTACTTGTTACTC